ATTCTTCTGTATATATATTTCACAATTAAAAGTCTTAAAAAAGGGAACATTTGGTATCATTGCTTTCTTTTTGTTAGTGTCTCCCCTCACCCCGGGTAAATGTGTTCTTTTTATTTCCCCTGGTCCCAATAATTCCTACTGCCAAAATGTATTTCTGTTGTCATTTCAAAAGTAAGTCTTGTTAGGGAAAAATATGAATTTATATAGGATAACCAATTTTTAAACAGCTTCTGTTTTGGTCTAAATGGTCTTTTATGAAACTGGCAGCTCTCTAGATATTGTAGTCCACTGTCTTTCAAATATATTTTAGTTTCATTTTGAAAAAAATGCTTATGTCAATCTCTAATATTTAAAACAGATAAAGCAGAATTGGCCCCCGTTGAATGTACTCCGTATTCTAGGAAACCATGATAATGCAGTTTGAATGCCACTGTTCTGGTTTGTAGCTTAACGTGGAATCTGAATGAGGTGATAATCCTTTACTATTTTCATGATTTCATAAAATTCTAACCCTTGAGAATATTCAAACACTAATTCCTCTTTACTTGAAAATTTAATTCTCAGGTAAGCTATTTTCTAAAGAACTGAATATTACTTATATCCGTGGTAGTTATCACTACAGTATACCTGAGGCTTATGCTTCTTTTGTAAAACATAGGTTTCCTACTTGGAACTAACCTGCCCCTGGTGGCCTTATGGAAGGCCAATGAAAATATGCATAATTTTAGTCTCCCTACAGACTTCTTGACTTAATTCAGGATTCTCCTTGATCTATACCTTGGTTTGGATTTGGAATTTCTAGACATTGCTTAGCTGTTTCAAGGACTTAGGGGAAAATGTTGATTCCAGGGGTAGAAGCCACATTTCTTACGGATATTGGTAAGTTTGGTGTGATTTTATCTTTTTGACCTACATAGAACTCTATCTACCAGTTAGGGTGAAACATATTCTGTGAATCAAACATGCGACCAGAATTTCAAGCTCTGAGTTAGACCTTAAAGATCATCAAGTTTAATGGTATTGACATTTTTTTTTTAAGCAGCAAAACCCTCTTTTCCAAGGAAATCATTCCAAGAAGCTAAATGAGAGAATTTAGAGTAAGAGTAGGGTTGGAGTTATTCCCAATCTCTCAGCATTTAAGGTACACACACTCCCAATTTTTTTTAATGTGATGAAATCAAGGCCTGGAGAGGTAAAATGATTTGCCCAGGAGCACATAGTAAATTGGTAACAGAACTAGGCCTTGAGCCCCTAGGTCTTATATCTAAATTGTCTGACTCTAGTCCAGTATTTCTTTTATTAAATCACACTGCCAGTGCTTTACAAATTCATCTAAGAATATTAAGATATTTCTTCTCATTGCTCATCAGGTGAATTATAGGCATTAAAAAAACAAATAGCATGTAAATGTGAACATACATACAGGGTAAAGACTAGTTCCTTTTGCTGCTTACAGGTCACTATGACAAATGTGTGTTTGCCCTTCGGGAAGAGAACAAGAGTGACATGAACACTGTACTGAACTACATCTTCTCTCATGCTCAAGTCACCAAGAAGAATCTTCTGGTCACAATGCTTATTGTGAGTATCATTTTTCAGAACCTGTAAGGATGGTTGATAATATGCAAAAAGTATTTTTTCCTTCTGATGGCTCTGGTCAGAGAAAAAGCTACTGTCTTTTGTAATTATGGGATGAGTGGGGCTTGGCTTGTGGATTAACAATTTCTTACATCTACCTTTGTCCTTGATCTGAAGGAACTGCTCTAGTTAGGAAAGGACTGTACTGGCTATTACACATATAGTCATGTATAGGAACTCAAATCCTTTGATCCTGTTTAGAAATTTCCCATGCTTCACATTCCTGTTGTCATCATGACAGCAGCTTTAAAGTTTAATCTTATCTAGCTAATGTACACTTTCATTTTAACTCTTGTTGGTACTGTAGATATAAGCAACAGCTCTCATGTCAAAAAACAAAACAAAACTGTTAGAAATCCAGTACTATCCCTCCCCCACCAAAGAAACTTAAATTTATTCTGCATCTTCTTTAGTCCCTGTTAGTTTTATGTATTAATACATGAAAATCTAAGCTCAGATTGTTGTATTGATAAAAGGTATATGATTTTGTCCCCATAACCTAGTAATATAAAAATTAGTAGAAATTAGGGATGAGGGGTAAGACCGGTCAATGTGAATAGAACTAATGTACATTTGACCAGTGGGTAGAATTTTTGTGGACTTAAGGATTTTTAAAGATGATTTGCAAGTCCTTCACTTCTAGATCTTTCTGGTCGAGTTGATTCTAGGAATCAGAACAATAGGGCTGTTCTTAGTATCCTTCACCCCCACGGTCCTGAGCAATTGCCTTGCTGCTTCTTGCTCATCTTTTTGGGGGACTGTAGTGCCTTTTCACTCCTAGAGTTTTCTTTCTTTCTTTCTTTCTTTTTTTTTTTTTTGAGACAGAGTCTTACTCTTGCCCAGGCTTGAGTGCCGTGGCATCAGCCTAGCTCACAGCAACCAGAAACTCCTGGGCTCAAACAATCCTTCTGCCTCAGCCTCCCAAGTAGCTGGGACTACAGGCATGCACCACCATGCCCGGCTAATTTTTTCTATGTATATCTTCAGTTGTCCAGCTAATTTTCTTTATATTTTTTAGTAGAGATGGGGTCTCGCTCTTTTAGACTGGTCTCGAACTCCTAACCTCAAATGATCCACCCATCTCAGCCTCCCAGAGTGCTAGGATTACAGGAGTGAGCCACAGCGCCTGGCCACTCCTAGAGTTTTCTTCCTTTTCCCTTTGTGGAATCAACATTCTTGATACCTTATTCTATCATTTCTTCTTGGAGAAAAAAACCCATAAATCTTCATGGCCATTTTTTATTTCAATCAGAATGAAGGGAAGCTATCACCCTCAAATCTCTGGTTAACATTGGTGCCACTCATTCAGTTATCTATCAGCTGGTTTACTGTAAAGGATGTAAGATTTTAAGAATAGCCTTTTTAAAAAGAAAGAATAACCTTTTTAAAATAGGTAATTACAGGAAGAGTTCATTACCTTTGCTATCCTAGAATGGCTGGGAGGTAGGGAAACCAGAAGATGCATTTGCAAGGGAAAACAAAAATTTCAACACTATGTAATATTTCAACTTCCCCAAGTGACAGTTTCAGCAAAGAAATGATATAATCTATGGCAACTTGCTAATTTTTTTTCTCAGTCAGGAGAGGGAAGAAATCTCAGACTATTTAGCTTTTTTTTTTATTTTAATGAAAGAATTCTTAATTCTCATTTGGATAAAGCCACAACAAAAAAGGGTAATGATGAGGGGGATAGAAGAATCTGTCAGTTTGGACCTAAAATGGGGTGGAATTTACCTGTATAGGAAGCTGATTATGGTGAGTTTTTCATCTTATTATGATTACCTTTTTAAGAACTTAACAGTTTTCTGCACTAAAAATAGACCAAAGCCCAGAATCCTTGGAGCAGCAGAAGAGTAATGATCGTCCAAGACTGTCGCTGGGTTTCTTAAATTCTAATTTGTAAGATATAGGGGCTTGGCTCGCTCCTTTTGCGGAGTGATTGTAAGTAACGCTTGCCTTAAGAATCTCATTATTGGAACACGGAGCCATATTTCCTCTGAGAATTCTGGAGTAGCTTTGAGCCGGGGCTGTTCATTTCTCAAGTAATCACGCTGGTGTGATGGAGAGAGAAAATGGCAGCTGTTCGGAGCTCAGGCCTTCAATTTTCTTCAGAGTCCAGTCACTCAAGTGTGTAATTACACGGGGGGTGCTGCAGAGGCGTTGGGCCCTGTCAGGGAACTGGTTTGAGGCTTTGCTTTCTGCTTTTGCCAGTCAGGACAGGCAGAAGCCAATGGGACTCGGACTTGCCGCTGTTCTCTCCCTCCCCGCCCGCCCCCCCCCCTTGTATCCTGATTATTTCTTACCTGCATGCATAGTACCCAAACTTTCTTTCTGACAGGCTGAGCTCTTAGGAGAAAAGAGCTGTTTCAGAGTTTGGGTTTCTGTGAAAGAGGAGGAGGAGGAGGACAGTTGAAGATGCAAACCAAAAAGCTGGATTTGTCCTTTTCTTTATTTTGACTTGATCATGTTTTTTATTTTAAAAAACAAAACAAAACAAGACTCAGTAAGCTTAATAGGATCTGTAAGCTTTCCTATCATTAATTTCTTTTGAAATATTAGTTTTCACTTCATCTTAGAGATTTGAAAATCAGGAAGTTAATTGATATGATTGAGCTCAGGGCCAGCTAGCAATGACTTATGGAACATGGATAAAGCTCAGATGGTACACCTTTCAGATCTAATATTCCTAAATGCAAAACACATCTTCCTCTTTCCTTCTTTGTCAATGGTCAGCCGCTCCCCCTTCCCCCTTTCTACCCTTCTGCACCGCATCTGCATTAATGGTAGTAGCTGGTGAGAGCCATTTAATTGTCTGGATTTACTCTTTCTGCAGGTCTCACTGCCTTTTACAGGTGTCACCTCGACATGGTAGCACTTTGATTCTCTCAGCCTGTGTTCTCTGCTGGTTACCCTTTCTTTGCTTACCTTGGCTTCCTTATTGACGATTATGTGCCCAGCATTCCAATCTCTGCTTTCTAGAAGCAGGAATGTTGATAGTGCGCTTTGCTGAGCTAGTTGACGGTTTCTGGGGCTTTTGAACCTAGAGGGAGAAATGAAGAAAATCAGGCTTCTGTGAATCTATGTCACGATATATGGGTTGCTCCAGTAAAGAGGTATGTTCATCCTCTCTGGGCGTTAGCATAACTGGTGGTAACTTGTCTCAAGGACTCTTGAGAAAATTTCTTCTAATCTTTCACTCTGTCTGGAAAGCAAAATATCAAGTAAAAGGCTAAAGTCTCATCAGGTTGCCTCCATTTGGAGGAACATTTGTAGCACAATTGAAAATGAAGTCTGGAAGGCCAATAATACATTTATTTTTTGAAAGCTCTGCTTCATAAATTTAATTTTATATGAAAAATCTTAGAGCTTAGAACATTGTTTATGTTTGCTTAGAGATATTTAAGGGACTCTTTTGCCAAATTAAGCTATTTGACACAAATAAAAAGTATTGGTACCCTCATAGTTATCTAGATGGCAATGTACATGTTTTATAACCACCTTGATGCTGAGTAGTCGTCCCTTCATGCTTATATTTTAATTCTGGTATGGGCCACATGAACATGCTATAAACTGTGCTTCTGTATGAATAATGTCGTGCATATGAGCCTCTGACTTGGTTTCAACGGGGAGCATTTAAAATGTTGATCAGCACCTTTCCTTACTCTCCTAACATGACTGCAACTATTTTGTCCAGCGTGTAAATAAAGAAGAACAGTCTTTCTTAGTCATTCCAAGTTTATTGAATAAGGGTGATATTAACAATTTCTCGTTAAACCTGTCCCGTGACATCTTTAGAATGTCAAAAAATCCATGTGAGACTGGAAGAAACTGCAAGAAGTCCTTTGCTGATACTGGGATTAGTGCCTCATCCAGCTGGACCGTGTCTTGGGGGCATTACACATAAGATCACATTCTTTTCATTTTGAATTGCCTTCCTTAGAGGTATTTAATGCCTGGGATACTAAAATCAAGTTGGACTATATATTGGGCTCTTCTGTCAGTCAGCTGCATAACTTTGGCTATGGTTTTGATACTTTATCATGTTTGTTATATTTCTACAAATCTAATATATACCCTATAGTTAGCAACCATCTAAGTTGAAAGTAAAAACAAGACATAACTGGGTTGTACCAATATTGCTGAATAATAGTTTTCACTTTGGCCTGCAGATTTTTGCTAGTGACCTTTAATCCCCAAATCAGCAGGTAGGCTCTTTAAACTAACCTTTTTACATTGACAAAACATCACATAGTTACCATCTAAAGGTATTATTACCAAATGTCAGGATTAGATGGTGATGTTGTGTTGTCCAGTTGTGCAGAGGAATCCTGTCTTTAGGATGGAGGCCCATAAACTTCTTGTTGGATGTTTGCGTCTTAGGATGGGTGGTTCTGAAAGACCCTGTTGGTTTCTTTCAGGATCTGAACATCTGAACATTAGGTCAAGGACAAGAAAGAATTGAGAAAGTTATTCTACACATAATTTTCTATTACCTTTTTCTAAATATTAATGCTAGCAGTGGAGGAAAAAAATACTTGAATAGAAAACTTCCAAGTCAGGATAAACTAAGGGAGGTAGTGGTTTATTCATACTGTTTGATATATCACATCCCAGAAAAGTCTGATTTCTGTACTTTAACACAAGGAGCCCAGGAAGATTGTCAGCTTGTGGTCATGAACAAATAATTAGTTCACTTTTATTTTTTCTAATCTCCATAGTACACTTTTCTTACAGATAAGGTTCTTTTTCCCTAAGCCCCTTTTCACGTCCTTTCTTTCATAGTGGAAAGATGAAATAAAAAAGTGGTTTTATGTGTTTTGCTTTGTTTTGTTTTATAACTTAGAACATGATTTGTAGCTAAGCAAGAGGATGACAACATTTTTCTTTATTTTAATCTCTAAAGGTAAACTTAGATTTCCTTTAAAGCAGCAGTCCCCAACCTTTTTGGCACTAGGAATCGGTTTCATGGAAGACAGTTTTTCCATGGACCGGGGGTGGGAGGGGTGGGGGGATGGTTTTGGGACGATTCAAGTGCATTACATTTATTGTGCTAACCTCTCTGCTAATGATAATCTGTATTTACAGCCACTCCCCAGTGCTAGCATCACCACCTCAGCTCCAACCTTAGATCATCAGGCATTAGATTCTCATAAGGAGCACGCAACCTAGATCCCTCACATTTGCAGTTTACAGTAGGGTTTGTAGTCCTATGAGAATCTAATGCTGCTGCTGATCTGACAGGAGGTGGAGCTTATGTGGTTATGCCAGCAATGGGGAGCGGGTGTAAACACAGATGAAGCTTCACTGGCTCGTCTGCTCATCTCCTGCTGAGTGGCCCAGTTGCTAACAGGCCACAGACTGGTACTGATCTGCAGCCTGGGGGTTGGGGACCTCTGCTTTAAATGGAAAACATTCCATATCAAATCTGATATAGGTTGGGAAGGTGACTGTTGTTCTTATTTTGTCTTGTTGGCTTTTGTCACGTCTGACTATTTGCATAGTAACTGAGCTGTGGCATTACCCATAATGCATCTTGTTTTTTAGACCTTTTGGTGGGTCATTCTGATGATTACAGTAAGTACCTCCAATATGTTTGCTCTATTACGAACATTAGGAAAAAAGGGATTTACTAGGAAAAACTTATCTTGCTTTCTCTGCCCACTGGTGTCTATCTTTTCTTTCCTTCTGTCTTTTTATGGTTTTATCCCTGGTGATTTTACATATTCCCTTGAAACTCTGTTTTGCTCATTAGTTCTCAGAAAAAGATGAGACTTAGTTGCATTTTCTTTCTCCTCTTTGCTTTTATGCCTAGGATAGGTGGAACAGGTCCTCTAATCAACAGAACCCTGGATTTATCTTCACTTTAATAGCAGCTTTTATTTTTCTCACTCAGATGAGTGAATTCTCTGTGTTAAATGGATGAAAATAACGCTTGCACTTCCTTAACTATAAATCCCATCATATGTTTTATGACTCAGGACAGTTGGAGCAGACCTCTTGTTGGTGGATTGCGGAACCAGAATCTCATTTTCTGGGGGAAAAAAAAATAGAGAAGCCTTCTTCCCAGCATAATAGTTTTGAGTACTCCCAAAGTATTTACCTGTGGAAGGTTGTAGGGGTTTTGGAAACAGTGTTGTGGGACATGCATGTTTTCCCCAAGGGCCGAAAGTCCCGTGCTTTTATTTATACTGCTGTGATAAAGGGCTCTAAAAAAGTAGCCCTGAGATGGGGAAGGTTAAGTTTGAAGTAGAGATTCTTCAAGAAAAGGGCTGATATCAAGGTGGGGAGAAGATTAAAAAGCAGCAACAGGTAGGCCCTTTGTGATCTGGTTGTCTTTCAAGTCCCATTGAGGGGGAGAATAAAGATTTACTAAACTATAAAGGCCATGATTTCAAACTCCAATTAGAAGAAATGATATCTAAATGTATATATTTTATATGGTGTGATATTAAGAACTACTACCACCAATAGCTCTGTAAAATTTAAAAAGGACATTTATAAAAAATTTACAGGTTTTCAGCTTAAATGGAAATTGCATGGATAATGGATGAATTTAGGGAATAAACTGATATTCCACTGGACTCCAGTAGAAATATTTCTTTTTCAATACAATAAGGAGTAACATTTTTTAATGTTTAGAAGAGGCAGGACCCAATACTGAATAAACCGTGGATTCTGTAGTAGGAGCATGTTTTTTTCCTCTAAACCAGCTACGAATCCACCATGTTTATTTATTTATTTTTATTATTATTTTTTGGAGACCAGGTCTCACTCTTTTGCCCAGGCTGGAGTGCAGTGGCACCATCATAGCTCACTACAGCCTCAAACCCCTGGGCTCAAGTGATTCTCTTGCCTCAACCTCCGGAGTTCCTGAGACTACAGGTGTGCACTATTAGCCACACCTGGCTAATTTGTCTTATTTTTTTTGGTAGTGGCAGGGTCTCCCTGTTTTGCCCAGGCTGTTCTCAAACTCCTGGCCTCAAGCCATCCTCCCTCCTCAGCTTCCTGGGTACAGAATTGCCAGAATATGGGATGGTGTTTTTAATTAGTATGTGTGTATAAATGAAAACTTTGTTCTTATGTTTTTGTTTTGCATCCTCCTGGGATGCTGAACATTTGGTTTGTGGAATGAAAACCACCAGGGTGTTTCCTTTTGCCTTGTTTCTACCTTCTTTCCAAAAGTGGGAGAGGAAACAGGAAGGCCTTTAGTCCTTGTATTATTTAAAACTTTGAGACATCATCTGTTATTTCTTACTCAGAGTCCCCTTGACCCGTTTTAGCAGTCTCTGATGATTTCTTCTGCATGTTAAACGTATAGTGTTGAATTATAAAGAAATACATCAGGAATTTTGAATCTGAATGACTGAGGTATTTGGGCTGCTTCTCCTTAGCAGAACTTCCTCTGTATTCTTCTTTACCACATTGTTTAGGGTAAAAATAATAGGAAGTTTACATTTTCCTATTAATTTAGCTATGTTTACTTAGTTTTCATTCGCCTTCTCCATTTCAAAGTCCTGTCCACCTGTTCTTTTTAATGTGGATCTGTATGTTCTTTTTTAGGATCAGTTGTGTGGCCGGGACCCTACTCTCACTGATGAGCTACTGAATATCCTCACTGAGCTAACCCAACTCAGTAAGACCACCAATGCTAAAGTGGCGCTTCGAGCACGCCAGGTAGGTAACAAAAGAACATTGGTTATCTTGAAGGGAGGATGGTTTTCATGGATTGGGCAGCCCTAGACTCAATGAGCTTTTACTTAATCACCTTACAAAGATCATGCAATTTTCTATGTATGCCACATTTTCCTCTGAACAAATGTTTTCACGTGGTATATGTTTTCTGAAGAGAAAGGAAAATATTAATATTGAGTCTCTTTAAAATAGGAGCCCTTTTCCCATTAAAAAAAATCCTGGTATCATTCCCTACCCTCCCTACCATCCCTGTGATAGTAAAGCAGGGTCAGGTGGAGGAAAAGGACACTGAGGGAAGGAAATAGACTCAATATTTCTTACTTCCCAAAGGGAGCTCAGAAGCAGATAAAAACTTTTAAGTGTATAGGAAATAATCAAGTGTGGAAAGCAGAAAGATAATGAAATGAATCATAGGCACTAGCAGTCAGAACAACCCCAGAGAAGTCCAGTTAGTTTCACCCTGCAGTCTTCATTTCCATTCCAAAGGGTTTCAGCAGGGAAGCCCAGCTATGGTGCTCCCTTTGTGTTTCAGTGCGTGGGCATTGACAAGGAAGCAGCATTTGAAGCTGTTCAGTGACCTTCTGCTTTCTCTACAATTGTATCCATGTCAATGAACTACTCAAAGTTATTGAACCTCTCAGTGACCTGCTGAGGGTATTCAGATCCTGTCGTGTCCCTGTTTGTTTGTGGCACTACTTTCACTCCCTCTGCCCCTCACATGCAGTGGTGTTACTTCCTGGCGCCTTCTCCTTGGTGCTGAGTACCTAGGGCTGTCAAAGCAGCTTTTCCTAGTCTTTTTTTCTACTTCAGAGTTGCAAAAGGCTAGCTATGCTGCATCCACCTTCCCCACAGCTGCTCCCTGCCAGACCTGATTCCCAATTAACAGCTAGTCATGCAGTCCCCAGGACTAGCAGCTTTGCAATGGTAAATCACATGCACTGATGGAACTTGATTGAAGCTGTTTTCTCTTCCTTCCCCCTACCCCCCATGGGAAATTGCCCACAACACAAATCATGGTGAGAGTCAACTGAGATTCAGTATTTGGTGGCATTGGCTTTATGTTATAGAACCTAGAAGTTGTTTTACTTGGTCTCTGTTTTATCTTTGATGCCTGCACTTACAGATTTATATTTATTGCTTTTGTATCAGAGCTGCCTAATAGGAGCCTAGAATAATCACTCCCTCAGGAACTTATGCCTCTTATTTTGCTCTCACTCTAGGTTCTTATTGCCTCCCATTTGCCATCCTATGAGCTTCGCCATAACCAAGTCGAGTCTATCTTCCTATCAGCTATTGACATGTACGGACATCAGTTCTGCATTGAGAACCTACAGGTATATATGTGGCCCTTTTCTACCATTCTGCACTCTTGTCCCCTTTATTCCCAAGCATAGTTTAATTAAGCAATTAATCAATTAATTTTGATTTTCCATGTAATGAAGTTTCATACTTTGACTTTCTAAAATGATTTATAGTGATTTATTCTTATGAATATTTTTTCATAGAAATGCTGTTAGAGTTGTGGTTTAGCTTAAAAATCTAATAGGCCTGCCTTGATAGAAATATCCCATTGAAGTCTTTACCTCTTATGCTATTACCTACAAAGTATTCTAGGCCAGAATTAAGTGGTAACACTGGTTGATTTGTGATATATATATTTA